TCAACAGAAATTTAAAATTCACCGTGCAGCTGCCGTGGGAAATGTGACTGTAAAAGTATGAGAGCGCAGAAATTCCACGGCGAGCGTAGAAATGTTACTGGCCGCAGAAATGATAGACCGCAAGGTCGCCGTAGGAAATGTGACTGGGGTGTTAGGTTAGGTACTAGTTTCTACGGCTAGCGGCCTGCGGCCTGTAAAAAACTGGATACGCCGTACGGAGGCCGCAAGGCGAGCATAGTTTCCCTACGCTCTCCGCAGAAATACACCGATTTAATTGATCTGCGGTCGACGCACGGCCTCCGTACGACAAATGTGACTGGGGTGTTAGGTATAGTAGAGTGAATAAGGGAGGTTGAAAGAATTTTATGGTTCCACATCTGGAATATCAGAACTGGTGAGAATGGTGATTCGGTGATTATTTCTCATAAAGGGTAAAGAGTGGAAATCTGGAAATCTTATTTTTCTGCTTGGAAATTTGAGTGTACGCATGTTCGTACTTTGCGTACATGTAGCTACGTCACTGGGTTTTCAGCAGGGGCTAAATGCGGTGATAGTATGCACAATCTAGTCAATCTATGCCACGTAAAGAATTTAATGAAACAAATTGACATTATAAATTGTATTTTTATGACGATAGAATACAGTTATAACTAATAATCTATAATTGTAAATATCAAGTGTCGCATAAGCTGACGTCAGTTGGAGGATAGTGGTAACATACTGGTACTTCTATGAAGGTATTTTATGAGTGTAGAACAATACAACTGTGATTACTCGCTAAACTTCTTGTAAACCTTGTAGTAGTTGATTGGCAATTTCTTGTTAAAGTTATTTTGACTACTATACAGGGCGTTCAATCAGGACTGATAAAAATGCTGTAACTTTTTTAATTTTTATATATTTCTGACTAACTTTTCTAGTGTACATTGTTGAGTATTGTACTGATGTACTGTGAGAGTAACAAGACTGTACTCTCACAGGAAGGTGGTACTGGGTGGAGCCTAAGGTGGTTCGTCGTGGGTCAGGTCTGCACGAAATTTTTGTCTAAATAACCGACTTAAAATGTGAATATTTTCATACATAATTTTATTTTTAAATCCATTTTGACAGTTGGCAAATAAACACTGGTACTAAGATACCTTGGTAACACCTATTGATGACATCAAAGAGCAAATTGTAAGGTGGAAATGACATCATGGAGCAATTCATAAGAATACATTTATATATTACGGGGAGCCCATGATATCACTGAGCAATTTAAGATCAGATGACTTCATGGAGAAATTTCATCACACGGACTCGGCAGAAATTATCATGAACAACATGACTACTGAACAAAATATCAATAATATTCAGCATCAGATTAGAAGCAGCACCAAGACGGTATACTCCTAGGGAATATCAAAATACGATACAATAAAGGACATTCATGAAGCTTATGGAAAGGAAACAACAACTACCGCTGGCAAATATCGTTGGTACCAATATTTCAAAGAGGGAGAAAGTCAGATAAAGATGAATCCAGACAGGGGTGACCAAAGACTGTGACTTCCCCTAGTCAGATTACTACAATAAAAGAAATATTGGCTGAATTCCTATCGGAAAAATTGCAGTCATGACTGATTCAAGTGTTGTTCGCACACACCATGTAACTCATAATGATTTAGAGATGACATTGATGTGTGACAAGTTGGTGCACAAGCAATTGACTGTGACTGCGGAGCAATATTCACATTTTAAGTTGGTCATTTTGAGACTTTTTTGGTGCAGACCTGATCCACCACTAACCACCTTTGGCTCAACCCAGCACCACATTCCTGTTAAAGCAGTCCTGTAACTTTTACAGTACATCAGTTTAATACTCAACAATGCACACTAGAAAAATAAGTAAGATGTATGAAAAAATAAAAAAAGTTATATTTATCAGTACTTTTTGAACGCCCTGTACTTGCTACTTCTAGCAATTTCTTGTTTACAAACGTTCTAATACTACTAGCTACTTCTGTTTCTTGCAAACGTTGTTTTGATCAATGACAACTTCTAAACGTTATTTTGACGTGCACAGTTTCCGTTGAACGTAGTTTTGTCTACTCGCTACATGTGTTGCTTATAAACGTTGTTATAACTATTAACAATATTCTTGTAAAGGCTGTAAATGTTGCTTCGACAACTAGAAAGATCGTGTACTAATGACAACTATTTGTAAATGCAGTTTCAGCGCCATTTTACTTTTGAAGAAGTTATACTAGTATATCTTTTGCTATAAATCTATATTTTGCAATAAAATGAGAAAAACAAGATCTGAGAGTCCGGCATTTCGAAAAATGTGTTGACTGTTGAGGTGGGGTCATAAGTTATCCATTGTGCGCAGAGTCTAGTCATAAACTACGAAGACGAAACTCTCTTTTAAGAAGCGAAGTCGAACGAATGCAAAGGGTAATTAAAGTCATAAAGAAAAATACACGGCAGTTTTGTCATCTAAGAACTATCATTGTCAAGATCACTATCTGACCTTCATACTGGGATAATGTCAGCTCATTTAAGAGGATATCGAAGGTTTCTCATTTTGAAGCAGAGAACTCAAACGTGATAATTTAGAATCCAGTTTTAGGATTGTGAACTGACCTGGATGACATCATCAAAAAGTGTGTAGAAAACACCCTACTGTTTCACATTGAGAGGTCAACGTCTCATTCTGAATAGAAATCCAAGACTTAAAAATGGAAAATCAAAATTAAACTAGAGAAATCAGAACATCTTTCCTCTGTTAAAATCGCAGTTCAGTGAAGGTCTTGCACAATGCAGATTATTAACATTTTTATGTGTTTTCTATGGCTTTGATTTGTTAACATTATTTTCACTAATGCTAATGGCAACAACACTACTTTTGCACATCCGATCGAACAAAACTTGCTTGACCAAATCACTCAAAGCCAAGTAGTAGCAGATTTTCTATAACAGTAGTAACATGACAATTTTTGACAATTTAAAAAAAAATATTGAGACTTTTGAAATCTTTGCATCAATGCATTATACTATAAAATTTGAACCAAATTGGACAACCCGAGTCATCGTCCGAACACACTAATAGATGGATGAACGGACGGGCGAACGTCTTCTCTATATCCGTACTAGAACTTCGCTGGGACATGAAATAACACTATTTAAAAAAAGCTACAATTTTGCAAATTTTAAGTTAACTCCTCGAGTGCGTCAAAATACATTAAAATGCGTCAAAGTCCAATCAAAGTGAATGTAATGACATTGAGAACTTCAAGGTATCGTGACATTAAGAAACACTGTTCATGACATTTGGCGTAATAAATGTATAAATTGACAATAATTAGCCTGGGCTTATTACCTATAGGTGTTTAATTAAAGATTGTGAAGAACATTATCTCAGAAATATTTCATCAGACAGCCATGCTTCCTCAAGACACAATTATGAGGAAAAAATTAGATGGAATGTGCTTGAGAAGGGAAAGTCATTTTTGATTGTCTCCTCAAGGCTACTTCTGTCGATGATAATATTGTCTGATACACTAACATAAACTACAGTCTAACAAGTTCCGGATGCTGACATGGGCAATATAATGCGAAATAGATCCATAATGACAAGGTCGTTGTATGTCAAAAAAATTTCTTGGACTAAACTATTTCACCACGTATTGAGGAAGTATTAAAGCGGTTTATTATGAATCAACACTGAACACATAAAGTGCCAAATGCAACAAGATGCTAATTGATAAGTTAGTATGCTACGTCTACTATGCCCCAATCACATTTACGTTGGCAGCCAGCCGGGAAGTGAGATAGACTAGAATTGACCCACTTCCTGTTGTGCCGGGCACGTCTTTGATTTACCGAGAGTATGGTCACATGAGATATGGGCACCATACGCCCCGCGTCATTGCGGTCCCCTGGTATTTCGGAAATCGGCGCAAATATGACCGAGGCATAACCATTACACTCGTAAGTGTATCAAGCGAAGGTAACGGCCGTCACCTTCGCATCAAAGATGGCGGACGGGATGTGTCGATTTCGATATTTTCAGTTTTCATCGAATTAAACTCCTTAATTATTGACGTAATGCAAATGATATTTGAACTAAACCCGACTTATATGACATGGAAACTCTGGGCATGATCATTTGTTCATATACATGCCTAGGTGCCACAGTTCAAGGATATCTTTCACCGAAGGTAACTGGGATTTTGGACTGTGAACTGTGGCGCCTACGCATGATATATGAACAAATTATAATATTCCGAAGTTCCAATGTCATATGAGTCTGATTTGGTTCAAATATCAAAGTATTACGTCAACTATAAAGTAGGTTGATTCGATGAAAACTAAAAATATCAAAACCGACACCTCCCGTCCGCCATATTTGATGCGAAGGTGACGGCCGTTACCTCCGCTTGATACTGACCAGTGATTTGAGGTCACACATTGTGTGTAAATTGTCAAGCATCTTGTAGTTAAGCATCATCATATAGTTAAGGATTTAAGCCCTGGACTCAGTGCAATATGGGCGGAATCATTTCTTAAAAAGGGAACTATGCATCAAGTCTTGAGCTTAAATTCTTTTCACACATTGCAAAATATTTTCTAAATACGAAATACTAAAAGTAACCTAAAACACAAGTTTCAATCACTCAAGCAATTTCAATCACTTGTCACCTTGACAACCATTCAACGAATGGCCTTGGGTGGGTTATTGATTATATAATGCAATGAAGTTATATGAAATACTGTGTTCGGATTGGCTGGAATCTGACACGCCTTATGAAGTGGCCATTTTAAACGGACGAGATCCGTCACAACAACTAACAACTCTTTCCACCTGATAGATCTCAAATTGTGAGTCCTATTAAAAGAGCATCTTGCGTTGTTAAGCAGAGATACGATCCGATTGTTAGAATAAATAGTTTCTAATAGTTTCGAAAGTGGTTGCCAAACCAGAAGGCTTGTTTAAAGCTGACTACAATGTAACTCACCTATCACACCAAGAAGGAAGGTCAGGGAATATATTCCTGTGACAATCCCAAACTCTACAGGGTCTATATAGTAGCCTTTTACACCGAAGATGTTAATCCCAAAATACTTGGAATTAACAATACTGTTGAAAACGTCTGCGGGAAGATGCGATCTGTTTCCCACCAGGTTCTTGAATAAGGATTCGTTATTTGACATGATGGCCTTCATTATACCAGCAATGTCAAGCGGAGTTGTAGAACGCTCGTTGTTCCGAGTTGTCATGTCTACAAAAAAAAGAAATGAACACTATTCACGTTCTATTCAGGTTACCTGTGTATATAGCACAAGTGATATTCTATGAAGCCCGAATGACTATAGTCACTGTTCCACAACTAGTTACTTTGACGGAACGTCAATGTAACAAAATGGATGAACTTCCTGGATATGAGTTTTTTGTTTTCTCGATTTAAACGTATACGTATAAGTCATGTTGCGGATTATCATTTGGCACAAAGTTAGACAATATTATAAGTTATATTGAATGATTTGAAGTGCAATACAGGATATATTCTGCTCGAGAAATTCCGTATTGGAACGAGACGAAGTCGAGTGCCAATACAGAATATCGAGACAGAATATATCCTGTATTGCACTTCAAATCATTCAATAAAGTTTTTATCGCGTAATCCTCTGTATTGCTACTGAGATTGTCCCCTCCGTACCAATATTTTCTGTATTGCGACGAAAATGATCAACGGGGACAATCTCAGTAGCAATACAGATTGGTACAACACAAGAGCTGACCAATCAGAGGGCTTCATTTTACAGATCATACGATAACAGTCTAGCTTTTAAAAATGCTCTCGGTTCGGAATTTGATATTTAATGGTAAACTAAATTGAATTGATGTAGTCATCACTGGTTTTGTAGTTTTACAATGTAAAAACGCACGTGGATTGTTATTTCCTTTGGTACTTTTTAAAGATTTTTACTAAACTATGAACTCGATCAGCTTATTAGTTTCATTACTTTCACTAGAACCTAGAATGACCTTTGGTGGTTTGTTGGTTATGTATTGCAATTCAGTTATATGGAATACTGTGTTCTGATTGGCTAGAATTTGATACACCTTGGCTTGGTATGTGTGACTAAGAGCGAAGATTTTAATCGTTTAGCTCATCTATTCAAAAAGCTTGCCAAAGCAGTTCCTTTAATATAAATGTTAAAATCATATTGAGGGAAATATTACGTTATTATTGGGGGCTAATTTGTCGTTTCTCCAATAACAGGAGACAGAGAACAGGAACTAAATGATTATGTCTTTTTTTTAATGAGTGTCTTACGAAACGACTTCATTTCCTTCAAAAATAAAACTTAGAATTGATGGCGGCGCAAAGTGACCATACTCTTTTCCCAGTTTGATACCTTTGAAATCTAAGATGCAAAGTGACTTCAAACTATATAATTGATGAAGATCGAGTGACCCGTTATGTATATTGTCAGGCTAATGCTAAAACGAATCTTCAAAAGCAAATTCATAAACAATAGACATATAGTCGAGGATGTAAAATGTATTGACAAATATGGGCAAATCTCCCTCTTTGTATTTTAAAAGATATCAGATTATCATGCGGATTTAATGCTGTCTCCATAGTAACTTAGACTAGAGATATATCTATCTGTGATTTGGATAACTATATTCTTTGTAATTATGGTGATCTGTCTATTCTGTATGCATATATTCATATCCTGATGTTATTTCCAATTGTTTGAGCTTTAGATTAAGATTAGATCACGATCAAATCTTGGCTTTCATCACTAAGATATTAGGCGCGAGTTAGGCCCCCACGACTAGAGATTTTTGATTATAATTTTCCTAACCGTACGGAGATTTCCATCAAAAGGATCATTGGACATAAAGCAGGCCCGTAGCCAGGGCAGAGCGATCGCCCCCCCCCCCTTGCCAAATATTCTTTCAAATTTCCCTCCTTTCCATCAATGAATTGAAAGACCAATGAAACCTTGTGCTGAAGATGACAATGGTGTGTTCACTCCAGTAAACGTCCTTATATACGGCATTGTCTTTTCCTTAGACTGAATTGAATAAACGTCAAAAGTGTCTATAACGTGTAAAACCATAACAAAAGCAATGATATCTTCTTAAGATTATAATAATGAAATCTTGATAATGAAATAATAATGAAAACATCTACGATGATAAAAATGCAAGGTTTTCACACTAGAAAGTCGAAATACTACAAACGAACCGTTTCGGTAACCAGCGTAATCGAGTGGATCACCAGTGTAAATAATGTCTGTATACCTTCGTTTGCTATGTCAGTACTTGTTGTTGGATCAGCATGTTGAAGTCTGCCATGTGTTGTTAAATGAACGGTCGTCTCAGAGGAAATGTTGGAAACATTTTCCGTAGTCTTCAGATTCTCCGTCGCTGAAACATTATAGCACAATAAATAAAGTCTACTGTTCAATTACAAGAACATCAATTCCCTCAGAGCCACCACCGAGTTGTTGAGAGAATTTGATGAAATACACAATAATGGCTATATGACATAATGAGCCCTTTATACCGTGTTATACAGGGTGGTCCAAAAAGATAAACTATGATTTTAAAGATGAAAAACACATGTGGATGTGGCATCAATTCTTCGTCATCTCAGAAAGTTTGTGACCAGTCATGCCAATGATGAATGAGTTGTTACACTTTAAAATCAGTAACATCTTTTTGTACCACCTTGTACTTGTTTAAGGTTGGTAGCATCGATACGTTAAATGATATACACCTGTTAAAGTATATCCTGTAACTACGCATGAAATATGAGATAACTATGAGAGCGTTTTTGCAGTTCATTGATTTTATGCCGTTGGCAAATGGAAACTCTTCTATGGGACGCTCGAAATTGAACATGCGTGATAAACAGTCATGAATGCAACTGATATGGACTTATACAAAATGGAAGATTTCAGAGGGTTATACGCAAATGAATCACTGCTCAACTGCCCAACCTCATCTTGGAAGACCAAGGTATGGCGTATGTAAATCAAACTGGTAAGCGAGTATCGCCCAACCCCTGCGTCTAAATGGACCTTTCCTGTATTAGAGAGAGGGTTGTTTGGAGATTTGTCATTGGAGATTTGTTATTCATAGATCAGTACTGTAGGGGGCAGAAGGCCCTTGTCAGTTGGATCAAGCCAAGCGCAACTGTATAATGAAGCCCCTCAGACAAACGACACAGAAATATTCAAAGTTAGTCATGCATGTCAGCCCAGCACATGATACCCAGTATTAAGTACCGTTAAGATTATTACAAGACGTATGGTTTAGTATTACTATAAAGTCAAGCATATTTCAGTATTTTAGTCAGGTTCAGTAACTAAGTCAACATTCGAAAACAAATATATCTTTGATTTCCAAAATACATTTTAACGTATTAATTTTGAGTACATCTCGAATCCATTCTCAACAAAGAGTTCGCGAAATAAGTTTTCGAAATATTTGAGCTCGGGGTGATAAAAGAACGTTAAGATATACCGCTCCTTAACAAATGACGATTCTCGGTTTGGAGAACGAAGTTCATCAATCTAAATGAGCATTATCCCTGCTTTGGACAAATTTGATTTTTTACATAATATAGATTTGAATGTCTTCTTTTGAATAGTCATAATTTAATTTGGGTAATATTTCTAGATTTTTCGCAAAAAAAGTATTAGCGCAGTACACTGATGAACTTCTTTCCCCAAATCGAGACTTGTATTTTATTGAATCGGTCTAATTGAGCGTTATCCCTGCTTCAGACCAATTTGTTATTTTTACATCTTGTGGATTTAAATGTCCTCTTTTGAATATTCATAGTTTAATTTGGGTAATATTTCTATATTTTTCATGAAAAAAATTATTAGCCCAGGAGACTGTTCTCCAAACCGAGAATCGTCCTTTCTTTGGGAACAAGATATAGAATCAAAAGCATATTCTTCTTATTTATTCACTGATATATGCCAATGAATGCTACATAATTATCTCTGGTTTAAATGATTTTGTAAACGTTGTTATCTACAGGTGCCATGTTTATAATAGAACAACAAAATTGAACATTTTGCATTTCTAAATTGATAAGTTTCTTGGAATACAACATGGTAAAACGATTTAAGTCATTAACTGTGTCTACCTCAGTGATTCCATGATAAATAGACAGTAACCGGGTCAATGTTTTAGGCTCAACCTTGTTTTCATGATTTTTAAACATGAGGCGACAATTATCTTGGAAATTACACTTCCAAATGTAAGCGTATCAACTCGTGTTTTTTCACAATTTTTGCCTTTTATCATGATGGATCGCCAAAAACTGCATGTACCTTTCAATGAGTTGATATGTTTTTAAAGTTAGAGATGTAAGCTATAAACTCAAACAAAAATTCAAACTACTTGCTATTATTTTGATTGCACAAGACGAAACCTTTTACTCACCAGGTTAGATGATAAACCGTTTCGAGCATTGATGATTTGAGTTAAACTGTGAATATCTGTATAAATGTAAGTCGGCATGTATTCGACAGTTAATGTACACATATGATGTATGTATCAACGTGTGACATAAATATCAATTCGTGACCATCATATTTGACTTTCGAAAATTAAGTTGGAAGCTACAGTGCACCCTATGCAGACAGAGCCTGTGGGAAATATTGGGTGCGGAGCAAATGAGCGGAGGGTGCGGAGCTAACGGTTATTTTTGAATTTAAATTTGGGATATTTCTGAAACTAAGCCGTTTTGGGACTTCAAATATACCAAGATATGTGTATTTGACACCAAATATCAATACAATTGTGAAAATAGTAGCGCAATTCATTCGATAGCGACGCAGTGTGCCTTAAACCTTTCCCAGACCTATATATTTTGAAATTATCCTTTTAATACTGAGTCCCCAGCATTCATAAAAAATGGTGTTCAAGGTGCACTATCTTTACAAATTATTTTTGCATCTTGGAAGCCAGGCAGTATCTGTGTGATTTCATAAAAATTCGGAAATTTTTTCAGATATGAGCCCCCTCTAAATATTGGGTGCGGAGCAGCTCCATAAACGTAGCTCCGCACCCAATATTTAGAGGGGGCTCATATCTGAAGAACATTTTCGAATTTTTATAAAATCACACAGATACTGCCTGGCTTCCAAGATGCAAAAATAATTTGCATGGGTGGTGTATCTTGAACACCATTTTTTATGAATGCTGGGGACGCAGTATTAAAAGGATAGTCTCAAAATATATAGGTCTGGGAAATGTTTAAGGCATACTGCGTCGCTATAAAATGAATTGCAATACTATTTTCACAATTTTATTGATATTTGGTGTCAAATACACATATCTTGGTATATTTGAAGTCCCAAAACGGCTTAGTTTCAGAAATATCCCAATTTTAAATTCAAAAATGACCGTTAGCTCCGCACCCTCCGCTCATTTGCGCCGCACCCAATATTTCCCACAGGCTCTGTCTGCATAGGGTGCAGTGGTGGGAGATTATTGAAAACGTCAATCACATTCAAATATCCGAACGACGTCACGTATTAACATTTACACTTTTCGTGCATCTCGAACAAGGCAAGGTTCTGTAATCCAGCAATGTGTATTTCGAAAGAAAAAGTTCACAAACATCAACAATTTTCATTGAGTAGGAGATTACATTTGAAATTACAACTTTCAAAATATTTGCTTTAACCAAGAATTTTAAGAACTTGAAACATGTTGTTAGTTTTTCAATCCGCATATCCTCATTCACGTTCTTTGACAAGGATGAATTCATTTGAAAACATGGATTTTCTTAATTATTCTTCAAAACTACCCTTGAAATATGTGTATGTAGGATATTACAGGGTACATTGACACGCCTTTGTTTGCTCCATATCATGAAAAAATAAATGCAGTACCATCTGTTAAAACACATTTATGGTTAATTCATGATAAAAATGACAAATAACATACATCCTTTGAAGTAGGGGTATACAGGGACATAGGGGAAATTCAGAAATGTAGGCCATATCTTCAAGATTGCTGCACCAATATGTAACAGAACACCAAAATTATCATCACGTTTGCTGATAGGTACTTAAGTATATTGAAAATAACAAACCAGAGGTTTACTTCAATTTTGGCACCATTCTCAGCCCCCCTTCTCAGTATATATATTGATGAACATACGCATTTCGAATGTTGACTTAGTTACTGAACCTGGTCTGATTTACTCTTCAATAACTTTAAACAAGCCTTGGTCGTATGGCAAAATATTTGACTCTAAACAACATGTATGACATGGATCATGTTCTTCGGAAAGAATTTTACTGGGCATCGAAATCAAATTTGCCAGAATAAATGTCTTGATTAATTCCTCCATCTTGGAAAATAGTTGCCATAGTTTTCTCCTGATGGCCATCGTGAATGATTGTGTTTTATGGATTATGGCGACGGCTTTGCAAATGTATGACGTTGACACTGAATTGAATTGCCTATGGATTTTGAAATGGATTTCGTCTATCCCACATCATTTGAGACAGGATGCTCTTTTATGAGTACTCATATCTATTTTTGATGTTACCAATATCTATTTTTGATGTTATGCCTATTGGCTATCAATTATTTCAATTTTTCTTCAACATGTATTGCAATTCAGTATTAATAAATTTTCCCTAGTATTCTGGTCATGGATTGTGATGTTTGCTCTCGATTGGATGGGGAGGGGGATGTTAGACATTATTTATTCTTTTCACGTTGGATCAAAGACTGTCGTGGTTTTGGGTCTAATTTTCTTATGACAGGTTGACACCGTTTGCTTTTCTTGTAAGATTTCTTTACAATTTTTGGTCCTCTCCCTTTGGCACTTGTGCTTAGATATTCGAATGTGGAATGTTACGACAACGACATTGTGAAATCATTGATCTCCCGATCAATGCAAAGTTTAAATGTTAGCCACGTTTACACTCCAAGTAAATTATTTCTATAAAGAATCTTTATATTCCAGATAGCCACAAGGGGATAACATGATGAACAATCTGAGCATGGTTGAACTATGACATTCCACTAAAAGAAAGAGATTAAAGAAAATTAGTAGTTCAACTGCCTGACGCGGTTTAAAATGACCACATTGTATTGGATATATACCCTATTCACATTTACGAAATAGTTTAGAAGACGATAGAAATAGATGTAATACCTCACTTTTGTTACGTAAACGGAACTTCAAAAAAAGTTAAGATCTGCACTTTTAACTCAGTGTGAAAGAAATGATGGTCCCCCAGGGATTATGGTCCCCTTTCTTAACGTCCCTCACTGGCCCTGATTGTGTATAAGATAATGAGGGAAAGAAATGTATTTAGGTCACCATATAAATCAATGGAGAGTAAGACCATAATTTGATAGCACCTCCTACCCTTTTACACCGG